ATTGCATTTGTGCAATTTCTATTGTGTTCATTATTAACAATTGGCATCAGAGCTTGTCAGACAGGCCTGATTGAGAGAGACAGTAGAGGTGTTCTTTGAGTGAAACACGTGAGAAGAGGGAGAAAGAATGACAGAGAGCAGCACCACCAACAGTACGTTTGTGCAGCCAGCCATCCCTAAATTTGATGGCTATTATGAGCATTGGGCCAAATTGATGGAGAACTTCCTTCGAGCAAAGGAATTCTGGAGTCTTGTAGAAGATGGAATTACTGTGATTCCAGAGGGGAAAGAGCCATCAGAAGCAAAGGCGAAACTCATAGGAGAACAGGAATTGAAGGATAAGAAAGTGAAGAACTATCTCTATCAAGCTATAGATAGAGAAATCTTGGAGACCATTCTTAACGATGACACATTCAAGCAAATATGGGATTCAATGAAGCAGAAATTCAAGGGATCAACTAGAGTCAAGAGAGCACAACTTCAAGCTCTTAAGACTGAGTTTGAAACCTTAAGAATGAAGGAAGGGGAGACCGTCAATGCTTACTTCGGAAGAACACTCTCCATTGCCAAGAAGATGAAGGCATGTGGAGAAAATATGAAATAAGCAGACATCACAAGAAAGATCCTACGTTCTTTAGTTTCCAAATTTAATTATGTTGTGTGTTCTATTGAAGAATCAAATAATGTTGATACACTAACTGTGGGTGAACTCCAAAGTAGTCTCTTAATCCATGAGCAGAGAATGAGAGGCCCAGTTGAAGAAGAACAAGCCTTAAAAGTGACATATGAAGCTCGAGGTGGAAGAGGCAGAGGCGTAACTAGGGGAAGAGGAAGAGGAAGAGGAAGACAGTTTTTTGATAAGTCTACTGTGGAATGCTATAGGTGCCACAATTTGGGGCATTATCAATACGAATGTACAAATTGGGAGAAGAGAGCTCACTATGCTGAAATCAATGATGAAGATGAAATGCTTCTAATGGCACATGTAGATCTCAAGCAGAACAAAAAGGAAGGAATATGGTTTCTTGACTCCGGATGCTCAAATCACATGTCCGGAAACAAGGAGTGGTTCATGCATCTTGATGAAGGGTTCAAGCATTCGGTAAAACTGGGAAATGACTCAAAATTGATGGTGATGGGGAAAATAAGCACAAAGCTAGAGTTTGGAGGTCAAGTTCAAATTGTAAGTAATGTGTATTTCATACCTGAGTTACGTAACAATTTGCTCAGTGTAGGTCAATTGTAAGACAAAGGCATTACTATACTGATAAAGAATGGAGCATGCAAGCTGTACCATCCAACTCGGGGACTTATAATGGAAAGCATAATGACGGCAAATAGAATGTGTGTAGTCATCACAAACATTCTCATTGCAAATTCAGCATGCTTTAATACATATGATGAAGAGGCAAGTGAAATTTGGCACAAACGATATGGGCACTTGAGCTATAAAAGTCTTGCCTTGCTGCATAATAAGAAGATGGTTAAGGGGCTTCCAAACATCAAATCACTAACAAAGAAGTGCACAAGCTGTATGCAAGGGAAACAACACAAAAAAGTTATACCAAAGAATAGCAAGTGGAGAGCCACAAAGAAACTACAACTCATTCACTCTGATATTTGCGGTCCTATCTCACCTGCATCTTACAGCAAAAAAAGGTATTTGCTAACATTCATTGATGATTTTAGTCGGAAATTATGGGTGTATTTTCTGAATGAGAAGAGTGAAACATTTTTTACTTTCAAAATGTTCAAAATAATGGTGGAAAAGGAGTCTGGCTTATCCTTATGTAGTTTGAGAACAGATAGAGGAGGAGAATTCAACTCAAAAGAATTCACAGATTTTTGCAAATCACAAGGGATCAAGAGACAGTTGACTACGGCATATACGCCTCAGTAAAACGGAGTTGCCGAGCGTAAAAACCGAACAATTCTCAACATGGTGAGATGTTTACTCGAAGAGAAGAAGATGCCTAAAAAGCTTTGGCCAGATGCTGTGAAATGGACCTGCCATATTTTAAATAGAAGTCCCACTGCCTCTTTGAAAAACAAAACTCCAGAAGAATGCTGGAGTGGTTTTATACCTAATGTTAAATATTTCAGGGTCTTTGGATGCATTGGCAATGTCCATATACCTGATGCTAGGAGACAAAAATTGGATGCAAGAAGCAAAAAGAAAGTGTTGATCGGTTACAGTGAAGAATCAAAAGGGTACAATATGATTGATCCTTGCACAATGAAAGTAACAATCAACATGGATATAGTGTTTGAAGAAGGTGAAAAATGGGATTGGAAAAGCACAGCAGAAGAGACAAAACATGACATTTTGGACTGGGGAGAAGCCTATGAACAGACATACAATCAAGGGGAGGAAAGTGAAGATGAAGCTGCCCTAAATGAAGATGAAGGAAATCACGAAAATGACGAAACCATCTCAAATGATGCAGCAGCCTCACAAGATCAAACAGATGATGACACCAATTCCAGTGATGATGTTATTAGTGATGTCGCGGCCTTACCAACTCGAAGAAGAAGAACTCCGGCTTACTTAGAAGATTATACCAACGGAGAAGGGCTCTCGGATAATGAGGTACAAAACTTCGCTCTCTTCATTTCTGAATCTGATTCGTTGTCTTATGAACAAGCAGTAAAATCAAAGAAATGGAGGGAGGCAATGAATCTTGAGATCAAAGCGATAGAGAAGAACAATACATGGAATCTGGTAAAAGCTCCTCCCGGAGTAAAGGTGATAGGAGTCAAATGGGTTTATCGAACCAAATTAAACGAGAACGGAGAAGTTGACAAATGCAAAGCAAGACTGGTGGCAAAAGGTTATGCTCAAGAAAAGGGGATAGACTACAATGAAGTCTTCGCTCCAGTAGCAAGATGGGACACCATTCGAACTGTGTTGGCTGTAGCAGCAATAAATCATTGGAAAGTTTTCCAACTTGACGTCAAAAGCGCCTTTTTACACGGCAAACTCAGTGAAGATATGTATGTCGCTCAACCATAAGGCTATGAAGTAAAAGGGGATGAGAACAAGGTGTACAAGCTTGAGAAAGCCCTTTATGGATTGAAGCAAGCTCCGAGGGCGTGGTTCAGTAGAATTGAGGGATACTTCATCAAAGAAGAATTTGAAAGGAGTTGTTGTGACCACACTCTATTTGTCAAGAAGTTTGAGGACAACAAAATTTTGATTGTAAGTCTCTATGTCGATGACCTTATTTTTACTAGTAATGATTTGTCGATGGTGCAAGGTTTCAAGACCTCAATGAAAAATGAGTTTGAAATGTCGGATCTTGGCGAAATGAGGTATTTTTTGGGTGTAGAAGTTAACCAGGGCAGCAATGGCATTTACATCAGTCAAAAGAAATATGTAAATGAAGTACTTGAGAGATTTGGAATGGGAGGCTGCAATGGAGTCAGAAATCCAATAGTGCCAGGATGCAAATTGACAAAGGAAGGAGGAGGAGCAAAAGCTGATGCAACAATGTTCAAACAAATTATTGGAAGTCTCATGTATGTGACAGTGACGAGACCTGATTTAATGTACAATGTTTGTCTCCTAAGCAGATTCATGTCAAGTCCAAAGGAAACACACATGTTAGCAGCCAAAAGAGTATTGAGATACATTCAATCCACTGTAGATTTTGGTATTTTTTATAAAAGGGATTGTACAACTGAAATGATGGCGTATACAGATAGTGATTATGTCGGCGACTTGGATGACCGAAAGAGCACGTCCGGATATGTATTTATGTTGAGTGGTGGAGCTGTAGCTTGGGCATCTAAGAAGCAACCTGTGATAACTTTATCAACAACAGAAGCAGAATATGTCGCTGCTGCCTCTTGCGCCTGCCAAAGTATTTGGATAAAGCGGATTTTAAAACAGATCAAAGGAACTCAAAATGATTGTGTTAAAATTTTCTGTGATAACTCTTCTACTATTAAACTTGCGAAAAATTCAGTCTTCCATGGAAGTATTAAGCACATTGACGTACGATTTCATTTTCTAAGAAATCTTACAAATGATGGATCAATCAATATGGAATACATTGGTAGCAATGAGCAAGTAGCTGACATCATGACCAAACCTTTGAAGATTGATCAGTTTGAAAAACTCAGAGAAGCAATGGGCGTTAGAAGCAGTCTTGGCATAAACTAACATGTAGCTGACACGTTTAGTTTAGGAGAGAGCTTTTGTTAGTATTTTCTCATTAGTAGTTTATTCCAATAAGTTCCTATAAAATAGGACATGATAGAATTAGTTTTACATTTGATTCATTCTTGTTTTCAGTTCACGTTTCCTAAGTTTATGGGAGAAGTGACTTTAGTTTAGATTTTCAGTTTCTTTGTAAAGTTATTTAATAAATATAATTGCATTTGTGCAATTTTCTATTTTCTATTGTGTTTATTATTAAGACAATGAACAAGGGATAATAGTTCTGGTACCTTTAGCCGAAGCTTGTTCAACATTTCCACCAGTCAAAATAGGCGTGGTACTAAGGATAAAGAAAACAATGGGGAACAAGAAGTGATTCAAGAGAAAGATGGACGCAAAATTGTTGAAGGGCGCTTGGAGGTTGTAGGAATACCTTTGGGAAATGAAATAGAGATCAAAACTGTAGCTGAATCCTTGGGGGCCGTTTCTATTACTTCTGATCTAGGAAGGATAAGCACCTCTGTTGTTAAAGAAAAACCAAAAGGTAAGAAATGGATTCGATAAAAAGTGGTTAAGAAAGCCACAAAGGAAAAGATTAAAAAGTTAAAAGTTGAAAAAAGGCAAGCGACAGTTGGTGGACGTGGTGACTGTGGAGGCTTCTCCGGAGGAAATATGATGCTTAGGGAAGAAGAGGCGCCAAGACTCAGAGCAGCTGAATGTCGAGAACTTGTTAACATAGGTGGTGTTAGATGTCCAACACCGCCTACCCCAATGAAACTCATGAGTTGGAACTGCAGAGGTTTAGGGAGCCCACGTGCAGTTTGAGCCTTGCAAAGGCTCATTCAGATCGAAAGGAGTAAAAGTGGGAATCGACATCAGTAAGAGGTTTTTCTAAACTGAAATCTATGGAGGATTTGGGGGAGGGCTTTAGAGACCTCAAGATTGGTTCAGCTAGGGCAGAGATCCTGAGAATTGAAGAGAAGTTGAAGATGATCATAGGTGGGATGCGCCTGTTGATGGAATCAAGGCTTTTAAGGTCCTTGTATCTTAGAAGAACAATCTTTTGAAGGCTCAAGAGGTAATCTGGAGGCAACGTGGTCATGCTGTTTAGTTGAAGGACGGGGGTTGAAATACTAAATTTTTTCATGGTAAAACCAATCAATGGAGGAAAACTAATTTGATTTGCAAGTTGTGTGATAAGAAGGGGGTGTGGTGGAGAGGGTGGGAGAAGTGTGAATCAATCCTTTTAGCTTATTTTGAGGATATTTTCTCTTCCTCTTCCACTTCAAATATACAGGAAACTTGCAAAGTTGTTCGAGGGAAGGTGAGTGATGACAACAAAAGGTGGTGTGAACGTTTGTTCTCGATGCACCCGGTCTCGATGCCCTCTTCTTCCAGAAGTACTGGCACATGGTGGGTAGTAAGGTTAAGAGAATGGTGCTGGACGTTCTAAACAGTGGGAAGGACCCATAGGAGATTAATGAGACATTCATTGCGCTAATCCCTAAAGGAAAGAATCCCAAAACTCCTAAAGACTTCCGTCACATCAGTCTTTGCAACATGGTCATGAAGTTGGCGTTAAAGACAATTTCGAACCGCATCAAGCAGATCCTGCCTGAAATCATTGACACTGAACAAAGCACTTTTGTTAAGGGAAGGTTAATAACTGATAACGCCCTGATCGCCATGGAATGCTTCCATTGGCTGAAGAAGAAGGTGAAAGGTAAAAAATGGGTTATGGAATTAAAGTTGGATATGTAAAAGGCGTATGGTAGTGTGGAGTGGAGGTTTGTGGAGGGTGTGATGAGAACTATTGGTTTCCCGGAATCGTTGGTGAAACTAGTCTACAGATGCATCTCCATAGTTTCTTATAAATTCCTTCTCAATGGGCAACCTAGCAGGAAATTTTTCCCAGAAAGGGGCCTCTGTCAAGGAGACCCCATTTCCCATTGTTTGTTATGTGTGTAGATGTTCTATCTGGGATTTTGAGGAAAGTAGTGGAGGCCAATTCAATTCACGGTATTCAAGTGGCGCATCATGCTCCGAAGCTTATTTTTTGCTGGTGACAGTCTGCTGTTTTCCAGAGCCAACTGTGTTGAAGCAGACAAGATTATGGAGATTCTGGACAGGTATCAAGTTTCTTTAGGACATATGGTTAATCTTGACAAGTTAGAGGCCTCTTTTAGTCGAAATAGCGAGATAATGTCAAAGAAATGATCCGGGACAAGATGAAGGTAAAGACAGTTCAAATTCACTCAAGTATCTGGGACTGCCAATTCTTTTTGGGAGATAAAAAAAGGTTTTCTTGCTTGTGGTTGAACGTGTGTGGAAGAAACTGAAAGGCTGAAAGGAAGGTTTTTTATCTAGAGCGGGAAATGAGGTCCTCATCAAAGTTGTGGCCCAATCACTCCCTACCTACGCGATGAGTTGCTTCAAATTTTCAGAAGGGATTTGCAATGAAATTGAGGCCCTCATGGCCAAATTCTGGTGGGGAACTCGTGAGGGTGATTGCAAAATCCATTGGATGAGATGGTAGAAATTGACGGTTGCAAAGGAAATGGTGGTATGGGTTTTAGAGGAATTTCAGATTTTAATTTAAGTCTTCTTGGAAAACAATTTTGGAGAATATTGCAGGGAGAAAGCTCTTTGTTGAGTCAGGTCTCAAGAGTAAATATTTCCCAAGGTGTTCTATTCAAGAGGCTAAAATTGGATCTTCTCCTAGCTATTAGCTATATATGGAAAAGCATCTTGGAGTCGAGAGATTTAGTGATGTCAGGAACTAGATGTAGAATTTGTGATGGTTCTCAAGTCCACGTGTGGAGGGATAACTGGATTCTCGATAACTCTGGGTTTGAAGTCTCTAGTGTAAATTGAGGATTGCATTCGGATGCTATTGTTAAGGAACTTATTGATTAGGACCTGGGCTGCTAGAATCTGAATCTTCTGAATGAGTGTTTTGATCTGCATGAAGCCATTCAAATTGCCAATATTCCTATTTCCAAGAGCAGAATTACATATAAGCTTATATGGCATTGGGAGAGGGATGTTGTGTACTCCATAAAATTGGCGTATCATTTCTTGTTTGAGAAGAGAGAAGCCCCAAAAGAGGGACCCTCTAGGCCGTCTTTTGCCTCGTTATGGAAAGTTTTATGGAAGGCTCTGATTCATGTCTGCATCAACAACTATTTGTGGAGATTCACTCAGAATATTCTGCCTACCAGGACTAATCTCGCTAAGAAAGGTATTTGTCTTGACCCATCTTGTCCTTTGTGTGATAATCATTCGGAAACGATTGATCATATTTTTCTGCACCGTCCCTTTGCTAAGTTGATATGGTTTTCTTCTCCCCTAGGGTTGAGAATTCCATATAACTCTAATCCCGTAACTTGGTTAGTTGAGGTCTTGTGTTCTAAAGATCCTCTAGGTATTCAAATGGCCGTACTATTATCTGGAAAATCTGGAAGTGCAGAACAATGTTGTCTTCAATAAAACTCATGTCTGTCCAGGTGTTGTGGTTAGGAGTTCTTTGGACCATGTTGAAGCTTTCAAGAAGGCTAACCCTCAATCTCGGGTGATTGAAAGTCTTGATCATTGTTCTGATGAGAATGAGATGGCTCCGATGTGTGTTTTGTGCAAGTGGATGCTGTGTGTTTTGACAATAGCACGGTGGCTATGGGATGTGTTATCAAGGATCAGAACAACAAAGTAATTCTCGCAGCTTGTAACCGTGTGTAGTCTTCTGCAGACCCTAGCATTGTTAAGGCGTTGGCGATTAATTGGGGGATCCAATTAAACTTAAATCTCCAGCTGCAAAAGATCATAGTCCAATATGATTCATTGGGTGTGGTTGATTGTTTTAACCAATTTGAGTTTTTGGAAGTGTTGGAGCCAATTATGCTCGACTGTTTTTCTATTCAAAAGTATTTTGCAGTTTTTTCTTTTATGTTTATCAGTAGAAAGTGTAATAATGATGCCCACATTATGGTTAGGATAGGTAAAACTTTTGGTTGTAGGACTTGGCTGGATTCAATCCTCAAGTTAGACTATTTGTCTGGTGCTTTGCCTTTGGTTGGCCTTTAATATTATGATGTTGCCTAAAAAAATAGACTTTCTTAAAAAATATTAACTGTTTACACAACCCCACTCAAATAATTTTGAGAAGTCACATTTAAAATGCTGCTTCTAACCAAGTTATCATTTTGTGTTATCTGAATAAAATTTATTTAACATCATGGTATAGTAATGCATACTAAGTATTTTAGTGAATAAACACAAACTTTTAAGAGACTTGATGAGAATGTGCAGAGAGATGGCGGTTGAGATAATATCATCAAGTGAAAATATAAAAGATTGATCAAACTCGATAAAATTGCAAAGCTCGAAGTATTAGTAAGAGAAGAAGTCAAAGGTTAAATCATCCATGGTCATACGCTTATGCAGGATTGCATACGCATATGAGGCATTCATCAAAGCATCCATATACATCTAGAGCAGCCAGATGCCCGGAAAAATCTAGGCAAAGAACGACTTGACGCCCTAGATCTAGTATAAACGCTAGTATACATTCCAAGAGTGTCCAGATGTCCAAATGAGAGGTTGTACGCCCATTTACTACTACATATTATGAAAAACATAGTTTCTCATATCATCTTGGAATTTGACAGTAAAAAGGCACTTTAGAGGGCAACATACACATTAGGAGTTACGAAGAGCATATTTCATTTGATTTCTATATTGAAACTTTCTCATTTTTTATTTATGTGTAACATTTATAACTCTTTCAATGTATTTTGTTAGGATTATTAGTAGTTAAACTGTTTAGTGTTATAGATGAGTAATTATAATTGATGAATCTTATAACTTGAATTAATTTTTATTATAATTAAGTATTTTATTCATGTTGATTTAATCTTATATGTTTTTAATTGTTGTTCTTTTTTGAATTGGTTGCATCATGCAAAACAACATAGAATATACAAGATGTTTTGGCGAAGAAGAAATACATGTGGGACACGATGTTACAACATGTGTGCAGCATATGACTTTTGATAACAAGCCAAGTTTGTTATAGTTTGGAGCGAGATTTGTTATAAGATTTATTTCAATCAGATTTGTTGTTATCTTTTAGCAATGTGATTATGATTTGTTTGACAATTTAGTTAAAGATAAATTTTTTTTAAAAGTGAAGGCACGAGAAACACAAGAAAGGGGAGTTTGAATTGGGTTGCACCAAAAATATACTTTTCGCAACTCAAATACAAAGATAACAAGTGAATAAAAATAAATGAGCACAATTATTTCTATCTTGGTTCAATGTTAACTGTTCACCCTACAATGTGATTTTTCTTATCCACAAGGACTTAACCCACTATAATCTACTGATTATAAACAACCACAATAAGTCTGATCAACCTTGTTGACAACCACAACAAGTTCGTTGATACTTATTTACAATCTACGATGACTGCAACCAAAGTCTTCTTGAGAATCCTGACTACACCTAGTATCTCAAGGAACCTATCAACAACCGTTGATTACAAATATGCTTCTAACTAGCAGATTACACAATGTATAAGTACAACAACACAAAAGCGTTGATATTAAGATATGAACAAAAGCTCCTTGCTAATTTAAAAAACTATACAAAGAATATCTCTAAAGAGTTGTGCAGCGTTTTAGCGTAGTTTTATAGAACAAAAAGTCTTGTCTCAAATTCATCCAAGTCCTTTTATTATAGCTGAAAAAGAGATCTATTAGAGGGTAGAATAAGAAATACGAAACCAACTGTTTTGTCACCAACAGTCATGGTGGGAATGATAGACAACATAGTACAAAAGGATTTTCCTTGAGCCACCCTAGAAGAGTAGTGGTCACAGTGTACTTTGTACTTTCATACTAACCATCCCACGCAAATCAGTCTTGATCTTTATCTTCTATTTCTTCAGAGGTTTCTGATGTATGTTGATGTTGCATGTAGTAAAAGGATATGAACTTGAATCTTCATAACCTAAGTCTTTGAAGTCTTCATAACTTGTTTAACAGAACCTTGTCTTGAGAGTCTTTAGCACTTGATCTTCAAAAGTAATGTCTTCATAACTTCAGAACTTATTCAGCAGAACCTTGTCTTCAGCATCTTCAGAACTTGAGACAACAGAAACAAAGCTTTAAAAGGTCTCAAAAGCTTCATTGTAAAGTCACGATCATAAGCTCTTATACTAACGTTCCTTAGAACCGTTGCACACCATAAGTATTCTTCCAGAGTACTGAGTTTAGAATCTGATGACGTCACACGCCTTCTACCATAGTCAGAACCTGTTTAGAAAAAGTTACACACTAGACAAAAACCATTAGAGTACATAATTATTCTCTAAGATACCATGTAAAATTATCATCAAAACTCAAGGCCAGATGCAAAACTAATCTTGTTATTACAATCTTCCCCTTTTTGATGATGACAAAACCATGTATTTTGATAGAACAATTCATATTGGGTAATAACCATATAACACAAATTCAGAAAAGCTAACATACTCCCCCTGAATCTGAATAAATATACACGAGTTTTAAGAGTTATAGAAATAAACCTAAAGTAGTGGAATGGTGGCAGTGAACTTAGGCGATACAGAGAGACATCCATATATCAAAGATGGAGGCATAGCTAGGTTATATACAAACTTAGGGTTGAAAGCAAAACCAAAAAACACTGGTTATGGTGAGATAGAGGCGCAACTAGGTTAGAAACAATGGTTAGGGTTGAAACATTAGAGACACTAAAATATATAGACAATCTAAATTGGGCTGGATATGAATGGTCTGGGTGAGAATTAGATCGGGCCTAGCATAACGATATCCTTAGATTCGATCGGATTCGACTTTCGATGGGCCCACAATCAACTCCGAATCCGACCACCCAAGCCCGTAATAACCTTTGGCTGCTTTTCGATCTAACCTGCCAACCAATTAAATCCGAATCGTTTCTCAAAGTTTAAATCGGAACGGTCAAATACCATCGAGTTGCTCCATTATGTCCACCCTAATGGGATGCAACACATACTTTACCAGTTGTTGCACCCCAAAATTTGCCCTCTTCTTTTTACGTAAGATGGCTTATGTTTTATCATACATATTCATGCATTTGAGATGGGATCAAGGTATTCTTATCTTCATGGTATTCTTCAAGCTATAGAAGATGATTGTATTGTCAATCAGTGCAAGAAGGGTCTCATATCCTTATTCTTTTGTTCATGCAAGCTACCAAGGCTTCTCATATCTCGAGACATCTCGACTGATTCTTTGTTTCATTAGGAGATTCAGAATTACAAGGGTTTTCGAAGTGAATCACATTTTCTCCTATTTATTGGCTCTTGTGATAGGGTTTTGATTACTGAAGTGTGTGATGTCTTTCTTGATAGAATTCTTGAAGCATTATCATCATAAGTATTACCTCAGTACACCTTCAACCATCAACTGAGGACTTGGTGAGCTATGTTTTGTATGTCTCATAATTTCTCAATTCACTTCTTCCCCATCAAGCATCACAAGCGAGAATTAAGATTTCTGAGTCACATTGTTTGAGATTGTTAATCGGGCATTCAACTGAGGTTTATTGGATTTCATGTCAAGGTATTCATCTATACTTTAAGTTTTCATGATTCATCTTCAAGGATTCCTCAAGGTATTATTTTTATTATGTTGAATTGAAATACAAGTGCTAGTCTTAGCATAAGGTGAAGTTGTGGATCTATTTTAGATCAAGACAATATTTATCAAACTTAATTGCAAGATAACTTTGATCTTTTGAATTTGAAGTTAAAAGGGTGGTGATATGGCCATAGATTCTTTCTCCTCAAGATGCATTACTATTCAAGAGTTAA